TATATATATATATATATATATATATATATATATATATATATATATAATACACGAAAATATAGATATGTATATCCATGACATCTGGGTGAGCAGAGAATAACTGCCTACTCTAGAAGCAGTCTCACCAATAAAGTATTATCTATAAACGTTTAAAGGCATACGGATTTTTAAATTCATTTCACCATCTCTTAATAAACCAAAGGAGGGATTTAACTTTGTTCACAAAAGACCATGCTGCAGATCAAGCACCAGAAATCAATATTTTTTTTTATGACTCCGAAGCAAATAAGTCATTGACAAACAATGCAAATAAGAGTCGACCTTGGGTGATTACCCTGAGGACCTAAAGCCTAAACAATTTGGCGGCACTGTGCGGAACTCTATCAAACGTTTTAGAAAAATCGGTACATATTACATCAGCTTGCTTGTGTGCCGAAAGGGCTACAAGCTAGATCTAAAAGATTAGTGCATAATATTGTGCAGATATTCCTTTAAAAGATCATGTTGTTATGGCGAAACAATCGACTTTTTTAATTTTTTTTTATATAATAAATTGGCTCAACACTGAAAGATATAAGATGGAATTCCATCAGAACCAGGATGGCTGGAAATTTTCGAAATACATAGTGCACAATACAAATCTTCTTCAGAGAAAAATATCAAAAGAATAAACTTTATTTTCCAAAATAAACCTACAAAAAGAGTTGGGATCAGTCATTAATTTTCTTTTCATAACTTGTGAACAACTAAAAAAGATCTTTGCTTTTAAGAATCTAAACTCACGTCTTACTTTCGGGCGCGCCATGTAATGTGCAGTCCAGTCATTAAGCTTCCATTTTCGAACTAGTCTGTGTTTCTTGTTAAATCAAATGGGCAGTTGGTCCAAATAAACATAGTAGATTGAAATAGAACTGCGATAGAAACAGCAGAAAAAACTCCATTGTATCTTTCAGAGGACCGATCAACATCAGAACCGCCAAAGTCCCTTTTCTCTTCCGAGAAAACCGCTCTAAATATACCGTATTTATTTATCTTAAATAAGAAAGTGGAAAAATTGTGTTTGCAAATATTGTATGCTAACAACCTTATTAAAGTAACTGCCAATCCCTGGTGGAACAAAGAGATTACCACGAGAAAATTTAATATTATCCATTTTAGGAAAGTCTACGAGTATGCTGGAATAGAAGTGAAGTATGTAGCAATCGACGTCTTCTTCGCGGCTTCATGATGTATTAGTGATAATAACATTATGCAATACCAACTAATATTCATCATAAGGTTTGACTCTAAATATCAATATTAGCGAGAGTACAACTCTTGTATAACAACTGGGAGAGAATCATTAACTGCTATCGCATTATTACTGCTTCACCATCTTTTCTGGCAATGTCATTTTTGAACACTTAGTAATCGGGATAAAAAACTTCTATATCATTGGTGTTCGTCTTCGTTTTCATGGATAGTACGAAGTGATACTTGCAATTTAAAGAATCTGTATATACGTTTCGTTACTTTGTATTTATAGCGCGGCTAGTTTGGTAAAGAAAATATAATGCTTCATTTAAATTTTTGACTTAGAAGCCAGTTCAAGTAAGGTTGGACCCACCTTCCTTCTACGAACAAACTTCTTAACTAAAGCCACCTCATGACAGAATTTCGCATCTCCGTGAATAAGTTGAGTTTTAAAAGTCGTTAGTTTTGTTGCTGAATCAAATAATCAACTTATATATTTGCGCAATATATCAGTCGTAGTGTTTATCGCACACTTTAATACACCGTTCTTCTCGCTGCAATGACCACTCAATCATTCAGCGATTGTCTATCACAAAAGCAAACTCGATCAGCAACCGATATGAATACGCT